CAAAACTGTCCCCATCTTTCCATCTGATCTTCTATTATTTTGAGTACTCACTATGTTTTCATAACTGCCCCCATTCTCATATCTGTCTCAACAATGAGGACAGGTCTGCTGGTGTTACCTAAAAATTTAATAATCTGAATGTCGGCCTCCTGCTGCCAGTAGTACAACAAAACTTCATATGAATTGACCTAACTTCACGTCTCCTATATTCACCTCTTCTCACACTGAGCTCTGGACACATTTAATTACACAAAGTTAACTGAACAGACAGTGTTCTCTTATACCATTACACCTTGGCACACTCTGTTTTCTCCTCCTAGAATCCCAACCGCCTTTTATTCTAACCAGCTCCTGTTTTTCTTAAGGCTCATGATAGCCACCAGGAAGGCCTCTATTACCTTCCCTACTCCAAGGAAATTCACCCTAATACCATGAACACCTGTAGTGACCCCTCAACCTCTTTATGATAGAATTTTATACAGAGATGTAACTGCTTACTTGTTTGTTTCTGATTCACAAATCTGTAAACTTCAAGAAAGTAAAGACTACTTCTTATTCTCTGGATAAATCTGGCATCTACATGGGGCATAGAAAGACTCACTAGGTATTCAATAAATGTCTGCTTAATGTAAGACTAAGAAAAATCTACAAAACCAAATGATGACTAAGTGTCTGAGATGTTCCTTGCTGAGTGAATAGCTGGTACTCAAATCAGTTAACTGAATAAGAATTTGAACGTAATTGTGTCTGTGTAAATTAAAATAATTTCCCCCCAGAACTATAATTTACAAAGAAACCCTAAAACTCTAAAAATTATATTGTGAACTTGGTCAGATCCAAACCTTGACACAATGATCACAGAATATTGGCCCATAGTTTTTTAACCTTTAGTTCGAGAAGTTCAAAATAAATGTTGTCATAGAGGCTATGAGGAAACCACCTGCATCCTACAATCACTGGGAATTCTTTAAATTCATGCCAGATCTTTTCTTCTAGATAGATACATGCTGATAACACTGACATTTCCCTCATGTTCTGCTTATTAAAAAAAAAAAAAGTCATTGGCTTTCAAGCTTTAATATGCAAGTGAATGTACCTTGTTATAGAATAGATATAACGTATGAAAGTCAGTTGATGGCTCAGCACCTGTAGCACAGTGATTACGGCGTCAGCCACATACACTGAGGCTGGCAGGTTCGAATCCAGCCCAGGCCTGCTAAACAACAATGACAACTGCAACAAAAAATAGCCAGGCATTGTGGAAAGGCACCTGTAGTCCCAGCTACTTGGGAGGCTGAGGCAAGAGAATTGTTTAAGCCCAAGAGTTAGAGGTTGCTGTGAGCTATGATGCGATGGCATTCTACTAATGGTGACATAGTGAGACTTTGTCTCAAAAAAAAAAAAAAAAAAAAGATAGTTGAAAATAATTTAATGTTTAGTTATTTAAAATTCAAATAAACACACAAAAACTTCCAATTTCCTTTGAGAAACAGTGTGTTGGCTCTGCTGGATCTAGTCAAATTATTTGAATCACTTCTCAGCTTAAGACAGACCCAATACCTAGCTGGGTGTTGTGGTGGGCTCCTGTAGTCCCAGCTACTTGTGGGGCAGAGGCAAGAGAATCACTTCAGCCCAAGAGTTTGAGGTTGCTGTGAGCTGTGATGCCACAGCA